ATTTTACTAACTTTTAAATATTTAATAGTTTTAATAATTAATATTAAATAATATTTAATAATTTAAAATTATTTTGAATATTCAATAATTTTAAAAAAATTTATTAATATTTTATGTATCTTATAAAAGATGTGAGGAGAGTATGGAAGAATAAAAAGGAAAACAAGGGAGAAAAAATAAAGTAAAAAGTGGAAAAGATGAAAAGAGAGAGAGAAAAATAGGAGAGGAGAAAGAAGAGTTAAAAATTAAAGAGAAGAAAGAAAAGAAATAGAGAAAAAATAAAAAAAAAGGAGTTAAGAGATGGGTAAAGAAAAAAGAGTAAGAAATGAAAACATAAATAAATAAAAATAAGCAAAACAAGACAAAAAAAATAGAAATAAAAATTATATATACACGAGATAAAAAAGAAAAAATATATAAAAATTTCCAAATTCTTTGTTTAAAGAATTTAAAATTTTACTATTTTAAAAAATGTTACAATTACTTAAATTTTTAATTTTTAATAAACTTTTGATCCAAGCAAAATTGCACCTCAACTTTTAAGATTCTTAAAATTAAATAAATAAATTCATTTAAACCCCCCTCCCAAATCCACTATAAGCATGTTTGTGTAATTCCAACAACTTCCAAATCAACTATAGGCATATTTGTGTATAGTTCCAGCAACTTACAATTCTAACTGCGTTTTGACCGAAATTCCAGTTATCGGGTTAAATACATGTTTTTTAATTTCTGTCAAGATATAGGGATAGCAAGAACATCTTCGATTATTATTTTTTTAATAATTGAAGATGAAGACATACAGGCTTTTCGGTGTAACTGCTGCTTGGTGCTGAATAACCCATCCTCACTAGTCACAAAAGCCTAAGGTATAAATATTTTTATTTACATAGGACAAAGGCTTCATTGCAGCCATATTTGCCCTCAGTGATCTATGACTTAAAAACAGACCCATCGTTTACTAGACATCTGAAAATCATCTCCTAAGATGATCTCTCGTAAAGAAGGAATGTCGCAGAGCATCCCTAGCTGTAAGTCTCTCAAAAGGGTCATATCTAAGTAGTCCTTGCAAAAGATGTATAAGATCTCCAGCTGAATGATCAACATGCTGCATTATAAGATTCTGCAATTATTTGAGAAAAATTCCAAATAAGAACTAAGTCAGAGGGCATTCAAAATCAAAACTAAATAAAAAATTTCCATGACAGGTTTGAGAACAGAACAAACCTGTAGTCGGGGAAGCTTCATTACTGCTTTAATACTCTCTCGGGAGGTTGCACCCTCTGGCCAATCCAATCTACCCCTCCGGACATACTTCTCTGCATGTCGGCTAAATGTGCCAAGTAAAAGAAACACTAGTTATGTTCAAGTTCAATAAATTGATAATGATAGAAAGTTCAAATGGTAAATCACTTACTCGACTCTCTTTAGCATCTGCTGCGGTATAGGACCAAGCACCCTCTCCATCATAGCCAGATGCTCTAAATTTTCGTGAGTCTGAAACAAAGCTTCACCCTGAAATAGAAACTCGTAAGCTTGATTTCAACAAACAAACCATAACTGTATAGTATAAATCGGAAGTATCCAGATAATCAAACTTACTGTGCACAACTCAACTAATATACAACCCACACTCCATATATCACATGGATAGCTCCACCCAAGTCCTAAAAAACCATTGCCAATATCAAATATTTAGTTGGCATCATTAGCAGTGTTTTGGAAGAACAACGACATATGAACATAATAAACTACAAAACAATAGCATTTTTACAGAGAATATATGTACCAAGGATAACTTCAGGTGCCCTATAATGACGAGTTGATACAATGTAAGTCTGATCTTCTCGTTCATATGTAGTGCTGCCAAAATCAATAACCTTTATAGCACTAGACTTGGGCACTCTCTTGAAAAAGGAACTTGGTGATTTGGAAGTACTCTGTTAAACATAAGCAATGGATGTCAGTGATGACATTGTATCTGACCTAATAGCAAAGCAATTTCAGCCACTTGGTGTTCTTACTTTCCCTGAAAGCCCTTTTTCCATTTTAAATTTAACCAAAGCAAAAGCCAAAATGGCCATAACTGATAGCAATTTAAAATTCATTTTACATTCGTCTTATATTTATAAAGAGAAAACCTCTGCTAAATTAAATAAGAAATTTCACCTCCACACCAGCATTGCAGATGGCTCATCTATTAAGATTAACTCCAAAGTAGCTAAAGGCAAATTATAAATAACAAGAGTACCTTGTAATCAGGAATTTTCAGATACTCTGGTGAAACTAGAAGTATGTTTTCAGGCTTGAGGTCAGTATGGATCATGCGCAGGTCATGCATAACTGCAATTTTATAAAACAAAAAAAAACATTAGAAGGCCAACTTCAATGACAAAATAATAGAATGAAAATGACAATATTTAACATGTACAATTATACAAATAACACAGTACTACAATGAGATGTTAAAGACAGTATTGGCCATAATATGCACAAAACAGGATGGAAATATATTAAAAAACAGAAAGAAACTAGTTCAAGTAAATACTACACACATGCTACACATTCCAATAGTTGCCAGCCAATCTCACGGACAAGATCAATGGGAAATGATCGATAACTGTTTTTCCGAAGAAAATCGTATAAGCTTGGTCCAAGTTTCTCAAACACCTGTTGCAACCATTTGAATTTACCCAGGTCTTAACCCCCAAATTAAGTATATTGGGGAAATCAATCTATCACAAATCAATCAAATACTTACAATACAGATATGATTACGATAGTCAAACCAGTTCCGTATTTGCACACAACTGCAAGGAATAAACCCATTTAACCAATGCAATGGAATTAAACATGGTATGTCATACAGGTGTATACAACAAAAGTTTCAGAACATAATACTTACCGATTGCTACCTTTATCGTGTTTCCCCAGTTGTTGCAGTACCTCAATTTCTATCATGGCTGCCTCTCGATACTTCTTTATCCCACGGACAATTTTTATGGCAACCATTTCCTTCCTTTCTCTGTCCCAGCACTCCAAGACCTGCCCAAAAGTTCCTTCCCCCATTTTGCTATGGATCTTATCTGTAATCATGTAAACAGAGAGTAAACAATGCGAGCCTAGTCAATGAAACCAACCACAAGATCAATTTTAGAACATCCAATGCCCAAAATGGTTCTACATCAAGGAACATGAAACAGGACTATTTAAGGTGTTACTAATACTTCAAATTAAACCCAGTTTGAAAGTAGAGTGAGGATGTATATTGTGCAGGAATTCAAATGGTGAATTTTTAAATTAAATTACAGTTTCAACTAAAACGAAAATTAAACAGCCTCGTCCACGACAAATGAATATAAATTTCTTGATGGTAAAGTGTATTTACAGCGAGAAGTTAAATTATCTCCAAGCTCAAACATGTAATGTCCATCCTTGTCATCGTCTCGCCATGGGGGAGAACCATTTCGAGCAACTCCCTTAAACAGAGAACTAGTGGGATGTTCTGAAGGAGCAAAGCTTGAAATATTCTCAACCTCTTG